ATATTATTAAACCAAAAATAAATTACTTTGTTATTAAATCTAAATTAAATTATAATAAAAAATTAAATTAAATAAATTACATCAAAAAATAAGAACTATTAAATAGTTAACTTGATACTAATATCGATTTATTTTTTTCAAATTCTTATACTATATTCAAATTTATATTTTATTCGAAAATAAAAACATTATTCGCTAAAACCAATAAAATCATATTATATCGATAGAGACAGAATAAAACTAAACATTAAAATCGAAATATATCTCGCTGCATTGAACGAGTATCATTCTAATCCAAATATAAACAGCTTTGATCTCCTTATTTCTGTCATTGGAGGCAGATTTTGTATTGGAAATAGTATTTTGTTTTTTCAGAAGCTTCTTCAATAAAAAAAAGTCCACCTTGTTAACATTAATTTGAATGTTTGGAATCATGTTTATTTTGGACATAAATACACCTTCTTAAATTAACCTAATTGTATTTAATTTTTCACAAAAATATCGTTGTTATTACATAAAGACGAAATTTTTTATTTGGGTAAACTATCTAAACAAATAAACTCTTTAATTATTGAAAAATTAAATAATTAAAACCAATCAAATCAAGAATACATCATGAAAACCAACTAAACTCCATCGTAGATTCTTGGATTTCAAAGATTATATACTCTTTATGTATATATGTATATTAAATGTATATATGTCTCCATCGAAGATTTTTGGAGTTTGAAGATTATATTATAATAAATGTCGACAAGAATATGCTTAAATATGTTAATTAAAAGTAAATCATATTTTATTTTCTATAAAATAAAATTCGAAGTGATTTAAAACAAAGGCAATGATTATGAGATGGTCATGATGGATGCACATTGACATCAAAATTTAAATCATTATTATCGGAATAAAGATGAGAGAGAGAGAGAGACACTGCGCAGCCATAGCCGCCAATTTCCCCTTCCTTTTTGTGAATCAAATTTACAATTTTATTTTAATTTCTATAAAAAATTAAAATTAAAATTAAAAGCGCAGAATTAAATAAGCAAAAATGGAAGAGAAAATCATGTATATAAATGGAGCCATGATAGAAAGAAAGAGGGCACGTCAATGATGAACCACCACTCACCCTCTCTCTCTCTACATCTATAGCTCTCTCTCTCTCTCTCTCTCTCTCTCTTAAAAGTGAGTTTGAAAACGGCCCCCTATTTTTCGTGGCTCTACTGAATCTTAATCGGTTTTCGAGGCACCTTTTCATCCCCTATAAAGACTTGCTGCTTTGTACACCTCTTCTAATTAAGCAAATTTAACTGAAAAGAAAGATGGCGGAGGAAGGTGGCGGTGGCGGTGGCGGTGGCGGTGGTGGTGTTGTTGGTGTGGCGGAGGTGGTGCTGGTTGTAAGAGAGTTTAACCCCAAGACTGATAGTGAAAGAGTAGAACAAGTGGAGAAAAGTTGTGAGGTGGGTCCCAACGCCGAACTCTCTCTCTACACTGATCTTTTGGGTGATCCTATTTGCAGAGTTCGAAACTCTCCTGCATATCTCATGCTGGTAATATATGTTTTAAATGAACGTTCATTTTTTTCTATTTACTTCAATCGAAGAAGAATTAACAATGGAAATTGATTACAGGTGGCGGAGGTGGTGTATGCCGGCGGCGATGAGGCGGAGAAGACGACGGAGATAGTGGGGATGATAAGGGGTTGTATCAAAACTGTTACTTGTGGTAAGAAGATTTCACGGAACAAGTCCGGCGATTCTCCACGACCGTTACCGGTTTTCACTAAACTCGCCTACATCTTGGGTCTCCGAGTCTCGCCGTCTCACCGGTAAATTCAATCTCCGATCATTAAAATTACTAAAAATGGAAACTTGAGTAGACCCAATGATCGAAAGATGGAAAGATTTCATCTTTTCTTGGTTTTACTCAAAATAGAAAAAAAAGAACCTTCGGATTATTTAAATTTAATTTAAATTTTCGTAAATTTTTACAGGAGAATGAGAATCGGATTGAAGCTCGTTTGTCGAATGGAAGAATGGTTTCGAGATAACGGCGCCGAGTATTCCTACATCGCCACCGACGAAGCCAACGAACCTTCCGTTAGTCTCTTCACGGAAAAATGCGGCTACTCGAAATTCCGCAATCCTTCCGTCCTCGTCCACCCGGTTTTCGCTCACCGGATTCCGGTCAGCAACCGTATTACCATCATCAAACTCACCCCTTCCGACGCCGAGTCACTCTACCGTCGCCGATTCTCCACCACCGAGTTCTTCCCGCGCGACATTGACTCAGTTCTTAACAACCATCTCAACCTCGGCACTTTTCTCGCCTTACCAAAATCCTACATTTGGGCCGGATCGGAAAACTTTTTATCCGACCCGCCACAGACTTGGGCCGTTATGAGTGTTTGGAACTGCAAAGATGTTTTCAAGCTGGAAGTGAAAGGTGCATCGAAGTTACGAAAAGGGTTTGCTAAAACGACCCGGGTCTTGGATCGGGTTTTCCCATTTTTACGATTACCTTCCCTACCCAAGATATTTAGCCCATTTGGGCTCCACATGTTATATGGGTTTGGTGGTGAAGGCCCATTGTACACCCGGTTCGCGAAGGCCCTATTTGGGTTCGCCCATAACCTAGCCAAGGACTACAAGTGTGGTGTGGTTGCGACCGAGGTGTCAAGTGAAGATCCGCTCAAGTTAGCAATCCCACATTGGAAAGTGCTATCATTCACGGATTTATGGTGCATAAAGAGGCTTGGGGAAGACTATAGTGACGGATCTGTGGGTGACTGGAGAAAGTCACAGCCTGGTTTGTCCATTTTTGTTGATCCTAGAGAGTTCTAAGTCCCAACTAACAACATGGTTTACTCCTTTAAAGCTTTCTTTGGGTGGTTGAAGCCTTTTTTTTACACTTATTAGTTGAGGTTTTGTTTTTAATGGGTGGGNTGGGTTGGGGAGGGGGGTGGGGGGGTAGAGAAGAAAAGAAATATGAGTAGGAAATGTGGTTTCATGGGGTATATCCCTCTTGTGGGACCTACCTTTTTTTTTGGTAAATGAATGTAGCTTTTCTTTAGATCCTCCATCTTATACTCCAAATATTCTTTCCAAATGATGTTTCTTTTTCTTGAAAGATATGTTTAAGAAATCCGGGTTTGGATGAAACTATTAACGATACACGTATGCATTTTCAAGATTCTTTCTTTTCTCGTTGAATCAGAGATGTGTCACGCGAATATTTCGCCCACGAATCAATGCCTCCCCACCCATCATTCTTTTGCGCAAAGATTTAACGGGATTTTGCATTTGACGCTAATACAGATATGATTCCGTAAGATCGTATGCCATTCGGAATATCCCAAAATGTGAAATTGCACAAAATTCCCTTTTGGGTTTTCATTTTTATGACCAAAATATGGAAATTGAATTGAAATACAAGATTGTGGGCCTTTGTGTTTTGAAGTTATCTTGGATGATTCTCCTTTTGGTGATGCTTGTTTTCTCCCCCACTCATCAATTGATGGGAGATTTGGCTTTTTGCTGTTTTGGCATATTTCTTTTTAACAATTTGATTCATGGTTTTTGGGTTAATAGTGACACTTTTGTTTGCTAATAATTTCATTTATTTGCTTTCCTAGTGATCCCATTTCACTTTGTTGTGGTATGATTGTGACATTTAAGGTCCAAAAATGTAGTTGCCATGTTTCAGATTTTATGCAAGACCATCATGTTCCTACGATATGTGTTTTTATACAATAATAACATGTTCATCTTTAAATATGTCGACAACTTTAACACACTTGTATTCAAAAAGGCGCCACCCGTAGGTGCATATTTTTGCCTACTCTTTTATGATCATCATGGCATTCTTGGCAAGTCGTTCAGTTTCTATCGTATCTTTCTGTTTGTTTTATAGTTGTCTACTTTAAGAATTCAGTTTGCAGTGGAGCCACGACCATGAATCGATGTGTTGAGACCAAATTTCAAATTGATTACGACTCTGTTAGTTACAAAAATCGGAGAAGAAATGATTGCATTTACTTGCATCTTCGTTTAAGATTATAATCATATTCTTATTGACTTACTGTATACGATTTGCTTTTGTATATTAATGATGATGACTACAAACATATATTTGTAATTATAATAACAATTTAAGGTAGCATTCTTTGCAAAAAAAAAATGTATTCATGTTTGACTTTTGAAGACCAAGAATGTTATTAAGGTAAAATAGATAATTAGTTGTAAAATTTTATATCATTTAATTAGATATATTTATTTCAAAAATAAATGTATTTAAATCTTTTATGTAACCTTTTAAATTTTAATTTTCTTCAAACACAAGGCTTGTATTTAAAAAAATATATGCCATATTTCTAAGGATCTGTTTGTTAGCAGCTTAACAAGCTTGACGAGATTCATAGCATATTCAGTTAATTATACATAATTATTTAATAGTGGTTTAATGATATAAAAACTCTCTTAGCGATAAGCGCTAGTGGGAGTTTAATGCGCTTAATGAGACTCATAGCTTATTCAGTTAATTATACATGACTATTTGGTAGTAACTTAATAATACAATAAGTGGCTTATTCAATAAGTTTCTAGGGGAGCTTAATTTTGAAACAATTTTTTTTTCAAACATGTCATTCCTATTAAAAAAACACGCTCCTTCTATCTATAAAAAAGTTCTCCGAACAAAAAACCTCTCAATTTATACAGATAGATTAATCTACACAGACACACATGACTTGAAAAACCAACCAAACAATCCATAAATTGGGTCTACAAAATTCAAAGCCTTATACAAGTAAAAGTCTATATTTCGTTATTATTAATGAAATCACGAGAACAATTTTTCACATATTCATTAAAGAACGTTCGATCTGTTCTATAAATGACCATCCATTTTACACAAATCACGCATCAGATCTTACACATCAAAATCGTAACACGTAGAACACATTATTTATCACCTTTAACTCTATCCACAGCACCAACTTTTTAATGATCCTTTGACTTCAAACCCAACTCGCTAAACGATAACTTGTTATGCTGATTTAAAAAAAGGTAAATGAAACCCTAATCCGACATGGTAGGTATAAGCATGAAAGTGTTAGGCAAATACTCAAAAGAATAGCACTTCCAAATTAATTAATCAAGGCCAATGACAATGCCAAACCAACATAATTAAGTAACACTAATTGTAATTAATTAGATGGGTATGAACACTATTCTAGGTAAGTCCTCCAATCTCCCCTAAAAAAAGCAACTTTGTCACCTTCATGTCCAATATGTGGAGAACAAAGGGTTTTGATGGATTAAAAAATGGTCACCTTTAACCTACCTTTTTTTCTTGGTTGACTTGCAACTATTTGTGGGTGACTTTGGTATGAGGAAGAAGCCAATGGTAGGTCTAAATTACACTTCCATTGTTCCCTGATTATCTTTTTTTTTAACATGGATATCTAATCCGTTATGCGAGCCAACTAATCTCAGGGTGACCATCTGCTTTGCAGATAATCCGGAGTCATCATATTTGAATCTTCGTGGCCATAAGAGGATTTTTATTCCTCTTTTAGTTAATTTAGTTAAGTGTATGGATGAACTACATCAAGACTTTGTGGTCTCCATTTTGTGAAGTGGGGCACTTAAATTTTTCAATGTCTATCATCATATTCTTGATTGAAATTTAAGTTTGGAACGACTTAATCCGTACTTGTTTTCATGAAAAGGAGGTAGAGAATGTTTGCAGAGTCGTTGTAGAAGTCGTCGATCGTGTTTCTTGGGACTGGAAAGTGTTGATAGAAGGTTCTGATGGTTATGTAACAAGATATCAAATTCGTATTTGGATTTATGCAAGTATGAGTTTACTTTGGGTAAATTTATGTTACTGTTAATATCATTGTTACGGTACCTATCGGTAGAAAAATACATCTGATGTATTACTATACATTTTCTTTCTACACTCGTTATCTTATAAAAATGATTAATTTAATAGTATCATTGTAACATACATTCTACCAATTCTCTCTCTCTCTCTATATACACACACACACACACACACACACACATATATATATATATATATATATATACACTAAAACCAACTTGTATTTCCATCTTATTTCTTTAACTCAACTTGGAATCAATTTTAAGCCACTAATATTTTATTTAATTGAAATACAATCAAGTTGATTGTTTTTTTGAATTATCATGAATGATATTGTATTGACGATATATCAATCAACAAACCTTCTTTTTCTCTATCAATACAAACTTTTACCCTTTTGTTATATCTTTCAATTTAATAGAAAGTTTGCTACTTCTGGCGTGTAGTTCAATTGAGAAATGAGTCAGACGACTTTGTCCAAATACAAAACAGGTGCCGAGTTCGATCCACCTTTCTGCCCCTTATACTAGCCTCAGTCACTAAATGAGCTAAAAAATACCCCTCACACTGGTATCTTTAAAGACTGGTTTTGTATAAACTCAGTTTGGATTCCGGTTAATCAGCTTTTTACCCAAATGAGAAATTTGTTTTATTCCTATTAAACTACAAGAATCATATACTTGATAAACTAGATTGATTTTGGGCAATAATAAAATGGGAGAATAAAATATATATGGTATGACTTTGCAAAAAGTTAACACAAGAAAATGGTGGAGCCCCTTTGGTATATGGTAATATGACTTTGAAAATGATGGAAAGAATTTTGAAGAAAATATAGATTTATTTTTAGAATTTGGAATTTGGAATTTGGAATCAACCTACATTGACTATATCACCATCAAATCCATGGATCTTAGACTTGCTATATTATCTTAGGGGTCAAGTCAAAGTTATTGCATTTTGACTTTTTAAAGTCAAACACACAGTCTTTATCGTTAATCTTTTATGGAATCAAATTTACTGAAAACATGTTTTCTTGTTCGACGTTTTTGAGGGCCGATGCAAGATGCTTTGGGAATCAAGAATAGCGAGCCAACTTCGATGCTAAAGTTAAAAGGTTCGGAAAATATATGGCAATACAACACGTAACACAGTAAAATTCTATGTAAATTTTTGAATTTGGTTTGTTGAAAAAATAGCAAGGATTGGTAAAAATTAGGTTAAAAGAGATTGGGCCGGGCCTTTTGGGCTTGAGCCTAATCACATAACATGGCCCATATTCATTATTTGTTATGTTTTATGTGACCAAATTGTAGGGGTGTATATTACTCATTTTTTATCAAACCAAATCGATCAACATGTATAATAGTTGTACCAATTTAATCGATACAGTTATAATCGGTTGGTAGTATCGTACTAAGTATAAAAACTTGGTTGGTTTACGGTATTTGAAGTCCTATATTGTGGTAGTAGCATGGTATCGACTTATTTAACTATTTGTTAGTTTTTTTTGTATTTTTGAAGTATTGTTTAATTAACTAGTGTAACTTTAACTTCTTTTTTTGTTTAACTTGACATGTGTTACTTGTAACTCAAAATTTGAACAGTGGCATGGGTTCATATATGACTTGAAATTGGTACAAAAGCGGTATCAAAATATACTAGCATGAAAAGGACGTCACCAATTGAGTTGGTACATAGACATAGTTTTAATCGGAGACAATCTCATGAGAAGTTTATGTATTGATGATAAATGTTTGTGTCTTACTCTTCTCTTCCTTTAGGTGAGTATCTATCGAACCAAGTAGTTTCCCCCATTTCCTTTCGGGAGCCACAGCCTCAACCACACCTCTACCATGTGTGATTGCGACGTACTTTCCAGCAACGTTGTGCCCTTGTTTGGGGACTTTTAACATTGTGTGTATATTTGCAGTTGGTATATGTGATCTTGTCA